TGTGATTTGTTTTGCTTTTGGTGCTGGAGATTGAACTCACGACATTATGCATGCTGGGCAAGCACTCTACCACCAAGCACACTCACAACAGGCATTTCTTTTTAGTCTCTGGGTGACTTCCCTTGCTTACCTGATTCCTTTTCTCCTGGGGGGAATCAGTGCTGTTTTAAATAAGGAGACAAGGAAGTCAGCCTACAGCTGGGAAACGTGACGGCTTGGATGAGGGTGGTGATATTTTTGCATATCTCCCTGGAAGGCATATGCTCACTTGGAGACTGTGAAGACAGGGAGAAGAATCAAGCCTGGACCGTCACCCTCCTTGGTGTGTGTGGGGGCTCTTCTTGGATAGTTCAGGTGAAGAAATAGAGCTTGGGAGAGCTGTGGAAGATGGGCCAAGGTGCTTTAGGTAATTGGTTCGAAGGCTAGAACAAAGCAACAATTTCCTGGCCTTTGGTGCTGGAAGTTGAACTCAGGGCCTCTTGTGTGCTAAGCACATGCTGCTCTACCACTGAGCTATATCTCCAGCGCAAAGGTAACATTTTACAGTTTTTCAGTTTACCATTTAATTAGCTGCACAGTGCTGGGCAAGTTATTAAGCCTTCAGACTCTAAGATGCCTCATTTTAAAATGGAAATCAATGCCATCTAGGAGACAGGTTGGTTGTAAAAGACTAGATAATTGCACGAAGTATCCAGCCCAAGGCCTCGTACACTCTAGATATTTTGGTGAATGATAAATGTTATTATTGTTGGGTAGAAATGGGATCTCAGCTCAGATCGTTCTGGAGACTACTACTAGACTAGTATCTTGAAGTGGTCTAGGAACCTCTTGATATTACACATGATGAAATAAGGTAAGATATGAAAACTTGGATGCAAATGTTAACAGCAACATTATTGACAATGGCCAAAAAAAGGAAACAAACTAAATTCCTGTTGATGGATGAATGGATGAACAAAATATGATACTTACTTGTTTATTCAAGCAATGGAATTTTACTCAGAAATTTAAAAGACGATGTAATGATACACGCTCCAATATGAATGACCCTTGTACCGATTTTGAGGGGTGGTGCAGACTATTGATAAATTTTCCCATATTCTTGGGCTTTCATATATACATAGTTGAGAGGAGTGTTGACTGAAAAAAATGAGGGTGGAAGGGGAGAGACTGAGTCTCATCCTTGTGCTTGGCCCATTGAGGACCCCTTCCAGAGGAAGAGGTACACCTTTACAATTTCCAATTTGTGTGTGTGCTAGGTTCAGAAATTCTGAGTCGGAGGAAACTACCTTCATTTCCCCTGCCCCACTCTGTTACCTCTGGCTTTGTTCTTTCTAGGTAGGTCCACCCAGCCCCCTATTACCTGTGCTTCTTGTTTTTATTCTCAAGGGGAAGACCTGAGATTTGTCGGTCAGAAGCCACAGAGCTAAGGAAGGGAAGGATTGAACTTGGAAGGAAATTAATTAGATTAATTAGGTGAAAATGTGGGGAGAGACCTTAATTACTGGGTAGTTACCACACAGTATTCTTTTGATCGCTTTGAGCGACTCTTGTAGAAGGCTGACTGCTCTTGCCCTCCATGGTCACAAGGACCAAGGTAGCATTGGTGCTTTGGGCCTTTTAAATGAGGTGCTGTAGCCTAACTTCTGCCTTTACTGTATCTTTGAAAATATTTTTACTGTGATAAAATAAACTTAAAATTGACCACCAAGGACTTTAACGCAGTCATAATATTATACAGCCATCATCACTATCTAGTTTTGAATATTTTCATAACCCCCAGAAGAAGTCCTGTACTCCATGCTTCTCTCCCCCACCACTAATCTATTTATGCCTGTATGTCTTTGCCTGTTATGGACTTTTCCTATAAATGGAATTATGTGGCAAGTGGCTTTTTTTGTTTGAGTTCTTTTAATTGCAGTCATGGATAGGTACATCTGTATTATCCCATGCATAGCACTCTATTTCATTTTATTTCTAAGTAATATTCCATTGTGTAGATAGACCACATTTTGTTTCTCCGGTCATCCATGGATGTATATTAGGGGTTGTTTTCACTTTGGGGCCAGTATGAATAATGTTGCTGTGAACGTACCATGGGTTGCTATGAACCTAGTACAAGTTTTTGTTGTGGTATCAAATTTGGCTGTAGAGCCTGGTGTCTCCATGTCTTTTGACTCTTGATTTGTGTGAGGTCACCCAACAAGAGAAACTTCTAAGAAAGGAGAAGATAAAGGGACTGCAGTTGTCTCTGTTGACAGAGGCAGTGCAGTCAGATGGTAGACACAGGAGGACCTGTGGCTATGTGGTGGGGTGGAGACCACCTGTGCCACGTTGGCTGAATTAGGAAATAAGTACATTTGGCCTGGATGCCCTTTCCTGCCTTCTTCTGTCACCTCTGGGTCTTCCCTGGCTCCATACCCAGGATGCCTTCCCTGAAAGATCCTAAAAGATTTCCTAGTCATCTGTCCCCACACATGTAGACTGGGGCTTCTGCTGAACTCACAGGGTTATTTGGATAATTAACTAGGGTCACTGTAAAGAGAAGAGCACTATGTAGTTGCAAAGAAGGAATAGTCTCCATGTTGCTTTTTTGGAGGAGGGTCAGAAGGATGAGTCTGTTTTCTCTTTGGCCCATGGGAGGAGTGATCTGCTGATGTCCAACCTTCTCTGTAGAACACGTTGCTTAGCACCTTAAGGTGTTAACCACCCCCGCAGGTGTTTCCTCACTAGTCTTGGAAACAGAAACCTCAGAAAAACAATTTGTTGGTGGCGACATCTCATATTCGGTGAAGGTGAGGATGGGTGTGCTCCCCCAGCCCGGGGGAAGCCTAGTCTTACTCTGCCCCCTCTCCAGTGGGAACCCCCACTGATTGGCCCCTGACGTCAGCCCTTTACTAAGTTTCCAGGGTGTTAGTGTTTATCTGACTAGCTGGGCTGCCATTAGCACCTTTGATTTTGTAGATGTGGAAATAGCCTGGCTGAGTCATTCACCTGAGGTTATGTGGCTACCACGTGACCCTGTTAGGATTGGCACGGAAGCATTTTAAGCATGAGAGCTGAGGGCTGTTTTCACTCTGCCTCTGGGGTCCCTCTCTCTGGGACCCATTCCTGCCCATGATTGTTTCTGAACTTTGTTTAATCCCCTGTACTGATTTCTTATTTTCTCCCTAGTTATTGGGACAAGCACCAATGAGGCACTTTTTCCCTGGGTGCTGTGTAATACTAGACTCAAGGAAAGGGAACCTGGCATTATACCTCTCTGGTTCTAGAAAGTTTTCTTTGCAGGAAAAACCTCATCCTTCAGCCCCATGGTCCTCCTGTGCCTGCTTTACTCCCAGTCCACCCGGCCAAAATATACATCTGCTGTATGTGGGATAATTCACACACACACTTTTTCTCTTTGCCCCTCTTTAGCCTGCTTGTCTTGCATGTGTTCTGGCTGCCTTCCAGTCCTGAAGAGGCTATCTAGGTGGGTGTGGAGGCCCGGGAAAACCTGCTCAGGTGTGCGCTTGTGCATGATGGACACTTGGCTCTGAGGAGGGCAGACTTGCAGGACACCACACTGCTTTTGACCCAGATGCTGCGCACCTCACTGTCCCGTTTAGGAAATGATCTTCCTTGTGGAATCACCAGTGCGCTGCGGGCTTGTGGATACAGGTGTGGAAGCCAGAGACATCCAGGACACAGGGGAAGCTTTCAATTAAGTTCCAAAAACTCATAGTGAAACACACAGTAGCTACACAAAGGGCCTGAGGGAGGCTGTGTTTACTCAGAACCCCACAAGCGGCTAGGATTTACAGATAGCACATTACTTGTCATGCCTGATGGCATGTGGACTATTGCAGGAAACAGCTACTCTTGGTGTTTTCAGCCTTTACCAAGTAGGACAGCTGCCTGTGAGCTCTTCTCTCCACTGCTCCCTTTTCATCTCTTACCCTCTTTTCCTAAGCCGTGGTCATCAGTGGGAAAAAACAAAACAAAACAAAAAATCCACTCCTGTGAGCCTGGCGAAGAGATGCTAAGGGCGGTGGGGAGTTGATGACCCTTATATTCCTAAACAGGCTCCCATCTTGCTTTTGCTCAGATTCTTATTTTCATAAATTTCCTTCCTTCAAAAGGTATGATAATTATACGGGCTCATTTTAAAACCTCTTTCCTTACTTTTAAATGTTCTTTAGCTAAAAGCATTTGTTTTTGTGTTTGAGAAAATTTAGATGGAACAGATAAGTAGAAAGAGAATAAAAATTAGCAATAATTCTGCCACCAGGGAATTGCAGATATTTTAGCCCCTGTCTACTTCAGATCTAGTTTTTCTGACATATACATTTTTCTCTTACTGTTTTTTTAAGAATGTCAAAACTGTGCCTGGTTAGAAGATTCAAACTGTACATAACTGCACACACTGGAAACTCAGTATCTACGTTGTCTCAGAATCCCTATTCCCTCTGCCAGCATGTTTTGGATACTTGGTGAGAAGAGCCCCATCCAGTTCTTCGTGGCTTATCTATGTTATTACAGAATGTTTTACATCTTGTGCCGCTCTGACTTGCGTTAATTATCTCTGCTAGGTTTGCGCAGCAGGCTGGGGCTTTGTGTGCTGCAGCACTCAGTGGTCCTGTAGATTCCAGGACACAGATTCCACAGCAGGAGCGTGTGGAGTGGCAGGGACCCTGGCAAGCTCAGTATGCCCATGGTTGATTTGTGAGAGGTATGAAGATGAGAAAGCCCAGCTCTTTCAGCTGCCTGGCTTTCCCCTCTGTGCTGTGACAGAGCTGTCCCTTTTGCCAAGGGCTTTTGCAGAAGCAAGCACTCCCCGTACCACATGTTCATGTAGCCCCTGAAATCACACGTAGGTTGCCTGTGACCTCCCCAGGGAACCATACTGTCCTCACCGCCGAACAATTTCAGGGGTGACTTTACAGCCCTCTGACTTTTCTATTTAAAAACAGTTATGAAATGTCAAACATGTGTGACCTCTTTTCCTTCTTCTCCAACAGAAGCCTGGAATGGTCCCCCCTCCACCAGGAGAGGAAAGCCAGACCATCCTCCTCCCACCTGGCTGGCAAAGCTACTTGTCTCCTCAAGGCCGGCGTTACTATGTCAACACGACCACCAATGGTAAGTCCTGCTTGGGGGAGCAGCCTGCAGCAGCCTCCAGGTGGCTGTTTCTCTGGAGAGGCATATGTCCCCTTCCACCTTCTCTCCCGAGATTTGGAATTTTTTTTTTGCTCAATCTATGCTAACGCTCCTGGCCCTGCAGTGCTGGGTGGTAGGGGTCTGAGCCTGGGTCTGCACTTCTGGAAGAGTCCTCAAAAAGGAAGCCTTCTTTTCAAGGCTCATGTAATCCCTGGAACCTCACATTCTCTCTGGGCACCTTCACTGAACCCATCCTCAGGGTTAGGACCCAGAAAGCTTTCCACAGGGATTTCAAAGCTAGTTTAGATCAAGTTAAACAGGTTTAGCAGCTGCATATTTTCTTGATATTCTGAATGTCCTAATGATACTGATGCTCTAAAGGAGAGAATGCAAATGAGTAGTTTCCCTAATTGTACTTTTTTGTTTTCCTGATGTATCTCACCAGCTGGCATTTCTCAGAATGTCCTTTAGAAAGTGCTGGGTCTACGGGTGGATTACTTATTCCACCAGATGGCAGAGAGTCCATGAGCATTTCTGAGCTGAGTAGGACTTCATCTCTATGCCCCAATTATTATGGATTTCCTGAGCCTTCCATACAACTCCAGGATCCCATACACGGGCTGGAATTGGTTTGGAAAAGGGTGTGCAGTGTTGGCAGTCTGTCCCAAGGTGAGCAGGGCTGTTCAGGCTTGGTCATGGACAAGACAGCAAGAGCAAGCCAGCTATGAGCCCTGTGTCTTGACCTCCATGAGCACCAAGGACTTTACCATGAAAGGATCAAGAGAAACAGCACAAGACAGTTTGATTTAGTAGGAATCATAGGTATGCAGCCCAAGTGGAACAGGAAGGTGTACCCAGATCTACCTGTTGGCCCAACCTTGGCTTCTCACTTCTCTGGTCTGTGCCCCCTTGACTTCATGGCCACCGCTTGTCTCCTGGGGTGGAGGATCATTAATATGGGTTGAGATTATGATCTTGCACTAGGGGGAGGGATCCTGATGGCAGGAGAGCCAGCTGTTATTTAGAGGAAGACACTGATAGCTGACAACTGCCATTCTGGGCAGCAGGTTTATTCATACCTCCTGGCACCTGACCTTCTGCAAGCTCAACCAGGGTGTTCTAGTTGAAGAGGTGACGGGTGTTTCTAGGAAAAGGGAAGTAGGACTGTTTCTAACTGTCCTAATTACACACTTCCTCAAAAAAAACACATGAGCAGCTTTGTCCTATTACTGAGACCCAAAGTTTCAGAGGAGTGTGTGTTTGTACATAGTTCCCCATCTGAAGGAACAGTGCAGAATTCGATGGTAAAGACTTGCCCAGCATGCGTGAAACCCTGGGCTCCATCCCCTGTACCATGAATGAATGAAAAATTCCCTTGTTTCTTTCCCAGAAGTATACCTGGGTATCACATATACCCTTCCAGATATCTATATTCTGTCACCTTCTAAACATGTATAAGCTTACTTAAAAATTCTTTTGAGGAATACTGTCCATGCTGTGCTTTAAATTATTTTGACAAGGTATTCTACTTCGTACATTTCCACTTAACTCATTTCTGATGGTTACATAATAGATGATAGTGGATTCCATGAGTGGGCTACCACTGATGACAAGCACTCTACTTGTTAATGAATTCCTAAGTCACATTTTATATCAACAGACAGTGTGTGTGGGAGGTTTTTTTCCCTGGGACTTGGACGTTAGCATCAGCCACTGGGTCAGAGTCTTCCTACAGGCACTGGGACACAGGGATCCCAGTGATGTTCCAGGCCACAGGTAGACTGATGGTCTCTAAAGGACCTGGCAGTAAATATTTTAAGTTTGGACATCATATGGTCTTTGTCACAGCTATTCCACTTTCCAGTTGCAGCCAAAAAGCTGCCATAGATGATACGTAAGCTGTAAGTGCAGTTTCATCCATTCAAACTTTATTTATAGATGCTGGATGTGAATTTCAGATAACGTTTTTGTGTTATACAGTGTCATTCTTCTTTTCATTTTCAGCCGTTTAAAAATGCAAAAGGTAGAAGCTAGAGATGTGGTATAGAGGCAGAGTATATGCTTGGTATGTGAAGGGCCCTGGGTTCAATCCCCAGTACCAAATAAATAAATAATACCGAAATGTGAAAGATGATTTTAGTTTACAAATTCATGAACCCTATAATCTTTAGGGGTAGGCAGGATTGGCCCATCTCTTTTGCTAGGTAATCTGTCAGCCTCCAAAAGGATTGGCTGTACTTACCCTCCCCTTTCTGCTGAGGACAGTCCTGCTTCCTTGCCTTGCATTCTACATGATACACGCCTGTTTCATTTATCGTGTAGTTGTTTTATTGGTTATTTATCTGTTCAGTTGACTGAGTCATCATTCTTTCCTTGTTTTATTTGTTTGTTTGGTTTTCTGAGACAGGATCTCACTGTGTAGTTCAGGCTGAACTTGAACTTGTGGCGATCCTCCTGCCTAAGTCTTTCTCACGCGCTGAGATTACAAGAATGTGCCATCATGCCCAGCACCATTATTCATTCAATACAAAGTTATTAAGCCTCAGATATATACCAGATGGAATGTCCCTGACCTCCAATTGCTGATTTTCTTAATAGTTAAAGCAGATTTTAAAATCAACACCTTCCTGCTTAAAATCTTGAGAAGGGCCATGAAGGAGAAGCCCGAGGTATTTGAAGACTATGTCACAGAGAGATCGTTGGCAGGGGATGGTCTCAGGGGCTTCCTGGTGGAAGGATGAGGAGAGGCCTGGGGATGGGAGACGCCTCACTAAAAGCAGAGTTAGTCACTGTGCAGGCCTTGAATGTCCTGTTAAGGATTTTGCTCTTCACCTAAGGGAGAAGGAAGCAGCTGTCTCTCTGACTCTCCTTTGGAATTCCTGTTTTGGCCCTTTTGGAATCTGACTGCCTTCTGCAGGAAAATCCCTATCAGAGCAGCTGCCTGTTCCCCTCAGACCTGCCTTCTTCCCTCCTGATCTGGAAGGCATCTGAGTTAGTGGCTCACTGGGGGCCAGCTGTGTCCCCCTTTCTACCCTGCTGTCTCGTGCACACACTTCATGCTGAAGCCCAGTCCCTCCCTCTCCCCTGGCAGCAGCTCAAGCACACACCAGACACACTGCTCACCGTTAGAAGCCACTGTGGTCCGTTCCTCTCTTCTCCTTTGTCTACCTTTCTTCCAACTACAGTCTGTCTCAGTAGCAGCAGGGGATTGGTTCAGGACCCCTGGATGATGCACCGGTCCCTTGATAAGAAGGCATAGCATTTAAGCAGAGCTCGTGCTCAGCCTCCTGTATGCTTTTCTACATCTCTAGGTTGCATGTAATACCTAATACTATGTCAGGGCTGTGTAAATAGTTGTTACACTGCATTGTTTAGGGAATAATCACAAGATAAAGAAAGTCTGTACATGTTCATTGCAGATGCAAATTTTTTTCCCTGGACATTTTCAATTCTGCAAGGTGGTAGAAGAGGCTGCCAGTGCAGAACCACAGACACAGAGAGCTGGCTGAACTTCTAGCCATCCTTCCCGTAATCCCTAATCTCTCTCCCAGAGGTGCTTAGGCATAAGTGTTCTGTCCTCTTTTGTATACCACATACACATAACCATTGGAAAGCCTCCTTTTCATTTGGGTCCCCTTGCTCTGGCTAATCTGCTTACTTTCACATCTATTAGGAGTTCATGGATGAGGATTGTTATGCTGCTAGTCATTGTGCCAGGCTCACTGTAAAACAAGATGTCTTCTCAGCTTTTAGGGACAACAGTTCTAAAAGGGCCAGAGAAATGTATACATCTGCAAGCACTGTGGGGATTGGCATGGAAATCTAGGCCCTCAAAGGAGAGATGAGGCAACTTCATCTGGTAGTCAAAAAAAAAAAATCTTGGGTAGGGTTACCTCCATTCAGGTGACTTTGAGTCAAGTTGTAGCCCAAGCAAAGGGCAAAGCAGTAGGAGAATGAAGGGAATAGGAAACAAAGATGAGAGAAAGGGGTCTGATCTACAAAAAGCCCCTTGAGGCACATTGAGGAGCAAGGTCTTTGTCCCATGGTCAGTGGGAACCCGAGGAAAGTTCCCAAGCAGTGGTGTGACACAATCAGGATATTGTGGCAAGACTGCTCGTGCAGCACAGTGAAGGATTTGAGTGAGCATGAGTCTGACAGCTTAAATGAGAAGAGAAATAATGAGGTCAACTACCACTCTGCAGCAGTGTCTGGGAAGGAGGAGGCGGAATCTGCCAGGATGTGGCAGGTCAGGGATAGGGAGAGCTTGGATTCTCCTTCCTTTCTGCCTCACATGACAGAGAGAGGAACAAGTTTGAAATAAATGAATCCATGTTGAGTGCACGGTTTATTGAGGGGCATTCAGGGTGAGGCGGACTGAGTGTGTTTGGATGGATGGATCTGGGTTTGAAGGGTTACCTGGACTAGATATGGTAGCCTAGAGAGCCTTGTGGGTGCACAGCCCCGCATGAAGAGGGCAGAATGAATTCTGCCCCTCCTTACCTTCTTGGACTGGTAACCGGTGGGTAGTGATCAATCTGCACAACCACGTGGGCTGGCCTAGAATGTGTCTTCATCAGAGAGCTGCACACGGCCCAGGGCAAACCCACAGGAGATGGTCCTATAACACAAAGTGTGAAGCAGAGGCCAAGGAGACTTCGAAGGGATTGTCAGGCACACGAAGAATCCAGGAAAAGGTGGTGTTGTGAAAGGCAATATTCTCAAAGGAAGGGGAGTCATAGACAGACTGAAATACAGATCAGATTCATGGTAGGGTGATCATTTAAATCCCTGGGGATGGCACAGATATTTATTTAGTAAATGGTGTTTAATAGATGAGCCAGGTGGCTAATAGGAAGATTCAGTGGCTAAGTTAATGCAATAGTGTTCCTTTTATATAAACTCACCAAAGCCAGCAGAGTGTGGTTTGTGAAACTTTGGGAAGTCCCCACCTCCTTTATTGCCCCACAGCCAGTGGCTCTCCA